TCTCCAGGTGAAGCCAAGAGGGTCAGCTGTTTGTCAAGAAGACGTGTGGGGGGCTTGGCAGGGCTGGCCCACCAGGAAGGCAGGCCTGCTCACAGCCCTGCTCACCTGGTTGGGAGGGTGTGCTCAGGTGGCTGTACCCACTCCCTGGGGCCACCTCTTAGCTACTCCCAAACCCTGAGCCCCCCAAAGGTAACAGGACAACCCCAATATGCTGTTTGCAACCCGAAAAGCTGGGCGATCACTGTCCCTCTAGCTTTCTTTTCTGCCCTCAGGCTCAGTCTGGGCAAAGATGGGGGGGGTCAGTGCTTAAGGGTCTCCCACCTCAACTATCCAGGAAGGCCCCCAGTAAGTCTCAGCCAGGATCCTGGGGTACAGCCAGCTGACCTCAGCTGACCTCAGCCTCCAGCTGACCCCCACCTGACCCTCTGTGCATCCTCCCCTTGAAGAGCAGGAGAGCAAGGAGGGTGACAGTGCCAGCAAGTCCTGGCCTGCGCCCCAGCCCCATCACATAGCTGGTCCTGTCCAGGTAGGGGCAAGCTAATGATATGTGGTCACCAATAGTACTGTGCCGCCTAGGTTGGGGTGGAGTGTCTCTGGAGCCCCTTCACCCTAGAGCTCCTAAAATTTGGCCTCACCGACTGCACCCTGATCTGTTGTAGCGAGAATGAGGCCCTGTGGCGGGAAGTGGCCAGCCTGCGGCAGAAGCATGCCCAGCAGCAGAAAGTCGTCAACAAGGTACGAGACAGGCCGGCAGGGCTCCCGCTGGTCCCCATCCTCAGCTGGACTAACTGTGCCTCTCCCCCTGCAGCTTATCCAGTTTCTCATCTCGCTGGTGCAGTCGAACCGGATCCTGGGGGTGAAGAGAAAGATGTGAGGCGCTGCGGGTGCCCATCCCTCAGCAGTGGGTCCTGGGTGCCACCAGGGCCAGGAGGCAGCTAACCGCCCCTTCCCCACAGCCCCCTGATGCTGAACGACAGTGGCTCAGCACACTCCTTGCCCAAGTACAGCCGGCAGTACTCCCTGGAGCCCATTCCTGGCTCTGGCCCCTACTCGGTGAGCTCTGGGCACTATAGCCCTGGCAGGGTGGGCGGGTGCTGCCTCAGCACAAGTGACATGTGTCACTCCCTTCGATGGCAGGCTCCATCCCCAGCCTACAGCAGCTCCAGCCTCTACTCCCCAGATGCCGTTTCCAGCTCCGGACCCATCATCTCCGACATCACTGAGCTGGCTCCTGGCAGCCCCTTGGCCTCCCCCTGCAGGAGCATAGATGAGCGGTGGGGACCAGGTCACCTCCTCAGTGGTCAGAAGGGGGCTGGGCCATGGAGGTGCCTGCTAATGTGTGTGCCTCCACCTGCAGGCCCCTGTCAAGCAGCCCCCTCGTTCGAGTCAAGGAGGAGCCCCCCAGTCCTCCTCGGAGCCCCCAGGTGGAGGAGGCGAGTCCTGGTCACCTGTCCTCCATTGTGGAGACCCCCTTGTCCCCAACTGCCCTCATCGACTCCATTCTGCAGGAGAGTGATCCTGCCCCCACTGCCTCAGCCACACCCCTCACAGATTCTGGGGCCCGGCCCCCCTCCACCCCACCCCCCGCCTTGGCCCCTGAGAAGTGCCTCAGCGTAGCCTGCTTGGACAAGTGAGTGCTGCCCTCCACCATCCCCGGACATGCCCCCGGGCCTCTGGCTAGGACTGTCTTGGAGGGCTGGGCATGGGTCACTGGGGGATGAGTCTGCAGACTCGGTCTTGAGCTCAGAGCTTGGGATTGGGGAGGGAAATGGAGACCAACCAAGCGGCCCCACAGTCTTGCCATTGCAGGAGCCAAGGGTATGTAGCCTTTGCACCTGCTCTCTGGGCACCCTGGCTGCAACTGTCACTCCGTCCTGCTGTTCAGCAGAGGCCCTGCCCCCAGAGGCCGGGTGCGCGAGGGCCCGGGGTATGGCTCCCGCCCAGGCCCCGGCCTGCAATGGGGGCTCTTGTCTTTGTATCTTGCAGTTTGGCTCGCACTCCACAGATGTCTGGGGTCACCCGCCTCTTCCCCTATCCCTCCTCCTCTCTGCATGGCCGATTCCAGCCAGGGTTAGCGCTGTCCCCACCGGGGAGGGAGGAGGGCTCTGTCAGAGCTCGGGCCCCTCCCCAGCTGTGGACCACTTGTCCCTGCCTGGTGAACGGGCGTCCAGGGCCCTCCGCAGTGGAAGTGGCCACCCAGACTCTGGGGCCTAAGCCGGTGCCCCAAGTCACTGACTGACAGGCACAGGCTTCCCAGCCTGGCATGGCTGCTAGTATGGCTAGGGTCCCTACTGCTGTACAGACTGGCTTTCTCTCAGGGTGGGGCTGGGCCCCACGGGAACCTCCAGGAGCCAGCCTGGCCATTCAGCCAATGTCCCAGGTGCGCCCGTGGCCCAGGACATTGTCACAGCTACCAGACCTAGGTATCTTTCCCACATGCACCAGGGGAGAGACCAGCCCACCACACTGAGCACAGCTCCTTCTCCTGTCCCTGCTGTCTTCCAGTGCAAAGGCCAGGCCTCAGACCTGAAACACTGCCCCCAGCCTGTCCGAGCCCTGAATCCTCCTGGGTCCTCTGCCTTCTTGGCCTTAAGAGCCTTATCGGGCCTGGCAGTGACAGCCGGCCAGTCAGCGTGGGCCAAGCTACTCCCCACAGTGTCCAGTTGTTCAGGCCCTGTCCACACACACACTGTCCCTCTAGCCCCAAGCAGGGACGGGTGTGGTCACGGGGAACCCTCTGGCAGGCAGGTGTTGGCTACAGGGGAAGGCTCTGGGTGGGGTTCTCTGGGGCACTGCCTCAGCTGCCCCACTCACTCTGGCCAGGGCTGAGCTCAGTGAGCACTTGGACGCCATGGACTCCAACCTAGACAACCTGCAGACCATGCTGACAAGCCACGGCTTCAGTGTGGACACCAGTGCCCTGCTGGATGTGAGTCCCACCCCGCCCCCTCCCACCCTGCTCACAGGCACAGCCTGACTGTCCTCCTCTCTCACAGCTATTCAGCCCCTCAGTGACAGTGCCAGACATGAACCTGCCCGACCTGGACAGCAGCCTGGCCAGTGTGTGTAGAGTGTGGGGCAGGTGGGGGGAGGGGAGGTGATGAGCTGGGTGAGCTGGAACCCTCACTGCCCTCCTGCCCCAGCAGATCCAGGAGCTCCTTTCTCCCCAGGAGCCCCCCAGGCCTCTGGAGGCAGAGAACAAGAGCCCCGACTCAGGTGAGCAAGTCCACCTGCCTGCCCTCCCGTCCCCTCCAGGTCCTTCCTGCCAGCACCCTAACCCGGCCCCACCCCTAGGAAAGCAGCTGGTGCACTACACAGCACAGCCCCTGTTCCTGATGGACCCCGGCCCCATGGACATGGGGAGCAGCGACCTGCCAGTGCTCTTCGAGCTGGGGGAGGGCTCCTACTTCTCAGAGGGGGACGACTATGCAGACGACCCCACCATCTCCCTGCTGACGGGCTCCGAGCCCCCCAAAGCCAAGGACCCCACCGTCTCCTAGAGGGCCCTGAGGGAGAGCTGGCCAGCCTCCATCAGCAGCAAGGGCCCCGGCCCACATGCCATGACTTGCTTGGGGCTTCACAGCCACCCGGACTGACCGCTACTGTGGGCTTTCACAAATTGTATTTTGGGTTTTTACATGACTCCCCCTTTCCCCTTCATAGAGGTAAATATACAGGCTTATATGTGGATGGACAGAGATCTATAAAGGGCAAGATCTACACTGTGGCCTCCTGTGTCTGCTTCCTCCTGGGGTGCAGTGAGGAGGGGCCTAGGGCACAACTGCCCACCTGACTCCACAATACCTGTATGTGCTAGTAATTATTAAAGGACGGGGGGGTGGGGGGGAGCTGCAGGACCTCCCTTTCCCAGGCCTCTCCACTAGGGCCCCATCAAGGACACTAGTGCTGGGCCAGCTTTGGAACCGGAGGGATTTGGCCAAAGGGAAAGGGAGTGCAGCCCTGCCTTCTGGGTTTGTTCCCAAGCCTTGCCGGCCAGGGGCAGGGGAGGGACACTCAGCCTGACACCCAGTACCCTCAAGCGTTCCCCCAATGCCCACCATCTTCCTTGGGCTGGGGCAGGAGGTACTGCCTCAGTCTGGGCTCCTCCAAATCCCCTCTTCCCCAAGTAGGCACCTCCCTTCCAATACTTCCATGGCCCAGGGTACAGGAGGGCTTGGGGCTGAGCAGATCCTGGTTGGGGCAGGGGTGGTGCAGTCGAGCCCACTCCCCAGGCATCTCAAGACACCTTCCCTGTGGGCACCACAGCCTCAGATCAAGGCACACCTGACCTGGCACAGCCGCAGGCTTTTCAGTCTTGAGAAGAGACCAAGATAAAGTGGGAACGGGCCCAGGGCTGCCTCCCACCTCCATCAGGCTTGGCAGGTGGCAGGGTATGGGGACTGCGTCCTGAGGGCTGCACTAGCGGGATTACCCAGCCTCGAGGTCAGGAGAATGGGTGGGGAAGGGCTGGGAGTCACCCACTCGGGTTGGTGTGGATGGCTGCTCTGGCAGCAGCCGTGCCCCGGCTTGTGTGTGGATGCATTCGCTAATGAGGGAGACCCCAGGCAAGGACTGACGTGGATACTTGAGCCTCCAGCCCCAAGCTGAGGTCCACTCCTAGGAAGATGAGGCACCCACTTCTGAGCCACCCTCCACATATGGGGTTGACGGGTGGTGTCTAGACAAGAAGTCTGCCCTTAGCTGAGCCATTTGAGGCAATGGCACTTGCCACCCATGATGCCAAGTGAGGTCTGCTTGACCCCCATCGTGGCCCTTGAACCCCTACCCTACTAAGGGCACCATCCTCCCACAGCTGGGCAGGGCCTCCCAGGGCATGGGCACCAGGGAGGCCCATGGGACCCAGCTTCCTATCCCAAAAGCACTACAGCACAGCCTAAGATGGCCTTGGGGCCCCCAAAGCAGCTGCCCCCACCATGCTGTCGGACCATGTGATGTGAGCTGTCACCTCCCTCCAGCCCAGCACCCTCAGTAGGCTGAGGTCACTCTGGACAGTATTTTATTGACACCTTCGGACACGTGGGCAGGACCAGCACAGGTTCTTGGGGCACTGGCCTGTGCTGGGTCCCCCATTGCTGAGGGGGCAGGAGAGGCCCCATAGGGGCAGAGGGGCCTCCTGAGGGCCAGGAGGAGGCAATGGGCAGCCAGCCGCTCTCCCAGCACACAGGCAGGGGTGAACTCTGGCCATGGGCAGTGAGGCAGTGAGGTGGCAGTGAGGAGTGTGGGTGGGGCAGCTCAGGCCCCTGTGGACTGGGCCTCATGATGAAGCACGTAGTAGTCGTGGACGTACATGAGCACAGCCACTGGCTGCCCGATAATGAGCGTCAGCCACACAGCCGCGTTGCCATAGTTGCCACGGAAAAAACGGCTCACTATCCAGGCCAGCGGGATCTAGAGACAAGGGGTACACAGTCAGTTGGCCATGGTGACCATAGGGCTGGCTGCCCCAGGTGCTGGTGAAATGGTAGGTGAGGAGGCCACAGGGTGCTCACCTGAGCCATCATGCCGGTGAAGGCCCAGAGACGGAACATGCGCAGAGGGATGCTCACCAGGTACTGGATGGGTGGGAGAAAGGGGCGTCAGCTGGCTCCTCAGGGCCACAGCCACCCCAGCTCCAGGCCCAAGGCAGGATGCCACAAAGCACAGACCTCATGGAAGAAGGCTGAAGCCAGGAACACCCCAACCTTGGCAATCCACTTGCTGTAGCCACGTCGGACCATTGGCTTGTAGAAGTGTCTGGGGGGAGAAGACCATGGGCAGATGACCAGGTCCACTCAAGGGTCGGCACCACCCACCACACACACACCCACCTGAGACACCACTTGTGCACAGGGATGTTCCAGTTCTGCCAGAAGTAGGTGACAGACTCAGCGTTCCTGGGGTTGAGAGACTGAGTGATCAGATGGCGCTGTGGCCAGCCCCGCCCCGCCCCGCCCCGCCCCTACCAAGGTTACCCACCACCAGTCCCGGTAGAACTCCCGGTCTCCAAACTGCATGAGCTCAGCCACAGCATTCAGGCAGGAATGGAAGAGCCAGTAAAAGAAGATGAGCCAGATGAGGTGGTTGGGGACCTGGCAGAGAGGTGGTGTCAGGCTGCAGAACCCCCATGCCTCGTGCCCCACCCCACCCCCCAGCCTGCTCACCGCCAGCTTCAGGAGACGCTCGATGATGCGTGAGTAATCCATATCCTGCAGGGACAGGGCTCAGCTGGCTCCCTAGGCCACCTCCACCCCTCCAGCCACGGGGGAGCCTGACCACTCACCTTGAAGGGCTTCATGGAGTTCTGGATGGTGGGGACCATCCACTGCAAAGGAGGGCACAGTGTCAGCTCCTGCCCACTGAGCACATAGGGCAAGACCCCTCTGCCAACCCCACTCCACCCTGTCCTGCTCCCCATACCTGCTGGATCAGCCCCACCTGGAGCTGGGTGAAGAATAGCTGGAGGAGGAAGCAGAGAGCAGCAGGCTGAGCCCCCAACCATCTGGTGGACCCTCTCACCCAACCCCTCACAGCCCCCAGCCTCACCATCTCAAATAGCCGCCTCAGCAGGAAGCGCTTTCGGATGCGGGGGGAGCGGGGAAAGTTGAGTTCGTAACACAGCGTAGGGGCAAAGAGGAAGTAGTACAAATCTGGAATGGGAGGAGGGTGCTGGCACCAGGCATAGCCTGCTGACCCCACCACTGTCCTCCACCACCCTCAGGCCAGCCCTGCAGACTCCTTACCACGGTAAGTCAGGTTGTCTGGGTAGTTCACGGTGCCCATGACTTGGGCCGCCCCACCATTGGCCTTCTTACCTGTAGAAGCTGGGAGGCAGTGAGGGGTGGAGAAGGATAGAGAAGGTTAAGAGAAGGGTGGAGAAAGTGAGGCCTTGCTGCTGCCCAGGTCCCACCCCCACCCCATGGCAACAACCCCTCACCAGCCTTGGCCTTGGCCTTGGCGCTAGCCCTGTGCTCTCGGCACCACAGGTTGACGTCCCGGTAGGAGAACAGCTTGAGGAAGAGGATGGTGTACACCGCCAAGGCCAGCACAGAGCCCACTGCGGAGAAAGAGGCTCAGGCCACGGCCCCCCACACCACCCACAGGAGAGCTACAGCCTCAGGGTGGCCCGAGGCTGGCCTGGGTCTCTCCTGCAGTCCCCCAAGACATGCTGGGACAGGGGTGGGGTGGGGGGGCACCTGGAGTGATGGACTCCAGCAGGAAGGCCACGGACGCTGGGAAGCAGAGAATGGTGGCCAGGTTGACCATGTGCAGCAGCAGCCCTGCCTGCTCCGTCAGGGCACCCTGAGGTGGGGGGGGGCAGTACTCAGCCAGGGCCCCCACTCCCTGGATGACAGATATCCCTGGGGAAAGGCTGCCAGGCCTAGGGCAAGGCCCCTCCCAGGAAAGCCTCACACAGCCTGAAGCACAGTGGGGAGCGTGGCACCCTGCCCTGAGCCCAGGCCTGGTGAGGAGTGGACCTCTGGCCAGGGCAGAGGCGTGAGGGCACTACTTACCACCGCCAGGCGCTTCTCCACGTGGAAGGCAGCCACAGCAAAGACATTGGCCACTGAACACAGAAGACCATAGGGCAGGTTCAGGTCCAGGGCAGCCCCCTCCCTACTCCAGGCCTTCCTTGATACCCCACTCACCAATAACCAGGCACAGGGCAGGCCAGCTGTAGGGGTCCTTTAGGAACAGAGACACCACCTGGATGGGGTCCACCAGGATGCCATACCTGGGGGAGGGGGAGATGAAGGCCTGAGCAGGTAGGGAGGCCTGAGTTGGCAGTGAGTGCAGCTGAGCCTGGAGTGGGGGGGTGGGGTAGGGCCCTGGGGAAGTCACTCACTTGATGAGGTTCTCCAAAAACAACCGTGCATTGCTCAAGATCTGCAAGAGAGAGAGAGGGGAAGGGCAGTGGCAGCCCTGAGCACAGCGCACATCTGCGGGGGGATGGCAGGGGCTGCAGGAGTGGGGGGGGTGCTGTGGGGCTGTGCCAAGGGTCAGGCAGGCCCAGGGCTACAAGAGAACAGACGGTGCTGCCCAGCTGCCACGCCTCTACAAACCCAGGCCAGGAATGGCCTCCAGAGGACAGAGACACATCATCTCCTCATGATGTCCCCTTGCCCAGCCAGCCTCTCACCCACCAGGCAGTGTGCCCCCCATAGCTCCCCAGGGAGCCTCCTGGGACTACAGGCTGGGAGGGTGTGGGTGTGTCCAGAGCCTCTCCACACAGGCAGCCACAGGAGTCTTGCCTTTGACACAGAGGTAGGCGTGTCATATTGGGGTGAGGGTCGAAGGCCAGGGGCCACATCAGCCCTGAGTGGTGGAGGCTGGGCCCAGACAGGCCCTTGTCCCCTGCCCCACCCTGCATCCTGCCCCTTTGAGCCCTGGACTCCAGCTGATTCTGGGCCAGACTGCTGGTCCCACTCCCACAAGGTGCCAGCAGGAACTGGGCCCCAGAGGCAGGAACCTCAGCTAGGCCACAGGGTTCCTTGAGGGGCACCTAGGACCCAGACTGAGAGAGAGGGGCGGGGGCCGTGCAGAGCAGTGGCTGGGTTGCTGTGCTGAGCCCAAAAGCTACCCTGCTCACCCCAGGCTGGACCAGCCCAGGGTTCCACACCCACAAGGGACATTCAGGAGCAGAGAGGATTCTTCTTGGACCCCAAAACCACTCACACATGCTGCCAGGGAAGCCCTGTTCCCACAGAGCACCCCATCGACAACCCCATAGCCCACCAGTTCAGGGCCAGCCACCCATCCTGTCCCCTCCTCTCTGTTCCCCAGTGCCCCTCAGCCATAGATCATAGCACAAAGGCCTCCCACACAAACCCCAACCACACAAGCTCTGTGCCCAAGTAGAGGCCAGCCTCAGTTAACCCCACCCAGCCACCATCCTACTCACCAGCATCACCACACACCAGTTCAGGATGCCACGGTAGTTGCTGAAGCCACTGTCCGAGCTAAACAAAGAGTCCTGCACGCGGTGGCACCTGGCAGGGCAGGAGACAGCAAGAACCTGTGGCAGAGCCAGAATCTTCCCACACCTCCCAGTCCAGGGGCACTTCAGGGTTCTGGCAGATACCTGAGCTTGGCCAAATCCAGACCCTCACTCTGGGCAACTCATCCATCCCAGCCCAGCAGCTGTGATCCACACTTCCCACTCCAGCCCTCTCTTCTATCCACAAACCCTACTCCCTGTTCATAGTCAGAGGAGCCAGGCAGGGCCCTGCTCTCAGGACCAACCTGGGGCCTGCCCCTCCAAACACCAGGCAGGGGCATGCCACAGACAGAAACGCAGCCTCGCTCCCCAGAGGCCGCCAGCTGCCACCACCCACACTGGCTATGGAGTGGTGAGGCCCACAGGAAGAGTCCATCCCAGAGACCTGTGGGCCCACCCCAGCAATGTTGAGCAGAGGTAGGGGTGGGAGGCAAATCCACCTTTCTCTCTCTCTCTCTTTTTTTTAATCCTCACCCGAGGACATTTTTTTTTTTTTTGCATTTATCTTCAGATAGAATGGGAGGGAGAGGGAGAGCGAAACATCAATGCGAGAGAGACACATCGAGTAGTTACCACCCACACAACCCCGACGGGGGCCAGGGACTGAGCCAAACCAGCCAGAGCTAAATCCACCTTTCTCAATCAGCCCATCTCACCACCTCAAACCGCCTCCTCCCCACTCTTGGCCTCCCCACACACAGGCCTGAGGGGGCACAGGGACCCAGGCTAAGAGCCAGCTGAGCACCCAGCCTGATTTGACCTTCTGGGTAGCAGTGCCCAGCCAGCCCTCATGCACTTGTGGCCTCCAATTGTTTTGAGAAGTGACAGCCTCTTCCAGTTCAACTATGGGTAAGCACTGTGTTCCTTCCTGCTGGGCTGGAAGGCTGAGAGGAGCCCACTCAGGGACTGGGCACCTGATGGCAGGGGGCTCCCACAGAAGCATGCAGGATTGCTTCCACGCAGTGCTAGGGTGGGGGGACACATAAGTAGACCCTAACGTCCCTGCCTGATTCTCAGGGTAACGAAGAGGTGGAGGAGGGCCACAGCTCACTCACCAGCTGTGCCCAACCTCACTCCAGCAGGATGCCAGCAGGAAGTCCACACAACATTGAGCAAGGCCTCCAGTTTTGTAAGAGGTGAGATCAGGAACCTCCCTTCCCTCCTGCAGACACACATCTCTGCCTCGAGAGGTACCCAGATCAGGGAAGTGGGCACCAAAGCGCTTCTCAGGGCTGGCCCTGCCTCAGTGGTAAGCCTGGTTATCTGTGGGGTCAGTACTCAGATGGGAGGTGAGAGACCAAGAAGCCAAGATGTTGCTCGGCATTCTTCAGCCACCACAGTGCAGACAAGTCACCTTTGCCTCCCCAGACCAAGGACTGCGACTGACCCGGCCCCTCTGCCTTTCCCAGCCGCAGGCCTGGCCTCCTTGCACCCACCTTCCAGGTCCCTCCTGGGCCTCACAGTGAGGCTGTGATCTCTACCCAAGGCCCTCTTCTCCCTGAGTCTCTGCACCTGCCTTTCCACAAGGCAGGCAGGGGTCCAAGGCCCAACTCCCCAGAGAGGATGATCTCCGAGCCTGTCCCTGGTGCCCTCCCCCAAGTTCAAGCCCATTGGTTTTTACTGGAACCTGCCCAAAGCTGCCTCCTGTGGTGCTGGCTGGGCACATCCACAGGGCTGTTTCACAACACTGTGACCCCTGCCCCCTTTGGGCCACTTAGACCATGCTGGCTTTATTTGCAGCAATCTCTAAGATGAAAATAAGAGTGGAGAAAGTGTGTCATTTTCCAATCTGACACAAAATAACATTATAGAACCTGTTCAAACTTCTCCCAACCAACCCACACCTACTCCTCAGGACCCTCCACGGGCCTCCTGATCATCCTCACCTCATGCAGCACCACCCTTCCTCCACAAGTCAGAGGTCCAACCCAAGGGAGGAAGGCATGGTCCACAGAGGCCCACAAAGGTCCAGCCTCACCAGTGCAGTCAGCAGCAGTGAACCAGAGAGCAGACAGGCACAGGAGGCAGAATCTGGCCACCATGCCAGAGCTGTCTTTGTCACCCTCTCCCCCACTGCAAGGGTTACCATGCCTCTGTGACCTGAAGTGGTCCTACACCCACTCCCCAGGCCCACCCAGCCAGCACGGCCATTCTAACTCATCAAACATGTCACCTCATTCAACCCTCACATCAGCACTGGGAGGTGGGCACACAGGGAAACTGAGACTCAACAAGGTTCAAAGCTTGCCCAGAGGCACAGCCTCCAACTGTGAACACACCTGGGACCACATGTCCCAGCTCCTAGGCCATGCAGAGCAAAGAGGGAACAGAATGCCAGCTCACCCCCCAGCTGCCACCTCCTAGGCACCTCTTCCACCCAGCCTCTGGGCCAGGCTGTGGGGCACAAGGGGGCTGAGTAAGCTCCCCACATCCTCACACCATGCTGGAATGGGAGCGGCAGAGGACACCCCAGGGACAAACACCCTGGGAGAGCTGTGAACCGAGAGAGAGCGTGTGGAGCTCTGGGAAGGAGTGAGCCACAGGCAGAGCAGAAAGGGGTGCCCTCTCCTTCCTGCCCCACAGCCACACCCTGGCCCTGGGCTGGAAGAAATTAGCTCACACCCAGAGCCTGACCTGCCTGCCCAGGCCAAGGTGAGCAGGAAGTATAGGGAGGGGTAAGGAGGAAGAGGGAGAGAAAAGGCAACAAACAGGGATGAAGACAAGCAGATTAGAGGAAGATGACAAGGAGGTGGTGTGCCAGAGGCCAAATCCCAGGAGGGCAGCCAGAGCAAGGCAGGCTTGGCCACCCCCCAGACCATGGCCACAACCCTAAGAGACCCCGAACCCCGTGGCTTCCTAGTTTGAGGGACAAGCACACATAGCCTGCATGTTCTGGAAGCCAGGAGGGATTGGGATCACCAGCTCCCCCTCCACCCCTGGGCAGGCCCATCCTCTTCCCAGGGGTCCAGACCTCCAGGGTGGGCAGAAAGGGCCCCCACTCCCTCCACCCAGCTAGCAAAAGCACAGGATGAGGCTTCTGGCCACCTGGCCCATGCAGAGCAGGAAAGTGACTGCCCATCCCAGAGTGGCAGCTTGGCCTAGCGCTAGCACCCCCATCTCACACAAAAGGACCCAACTCCCACCTCCCCTAGAGGGCGATCATGCTAGCCATGCCCCTGCCCCCTAGAGAAGATAACTCTGGGAGCTAACAGAGGGCACTCTAGAACCCCCATTCTTTTCAGCCTGCCTCAGCAGCACCCCACAGGAAGTGCTGGGATGGAGCCTCCATGAACTTCGTGTCTAACCTTTACTCACCCTGCTCAGCGCTGAGATTATCTTATCAGGTGGACTGTGAGCACTCCAAGGGCAGGGACAGTGCCCACACCCCAGCTGCCTTTGCCCACCCATTCCCCAGGGCGCCCCATGAAGAAAGCCTCAATTCTTGTTTACTAAGAGAGCAAATCCTTGCCAACCAACTGACCAATTGCCCACTTCCTCCTTGGTAACCTCTAGTCTTGAAGCTGCTCCCAAAACCAGAGCCCCCAAGGGCCCTCGGGCAAGATGAAGGCTGAAAGTTGGCCAAGGGATCGCTTGGAGCTAGCTTGGAAGAGGGAGCCAGTGTTCAGACAAGCCAGGTCCTCCCCATCACCCTCTACATGCTTGCCCCATCCCTTCCTGTCAGTCTTTAACCTGTGGGTGGGCGCACTTCCAACCCCTCTCCTGTACCCAACCAGGGCCCAGGCCAGCCAAGCACTGGGTGAGGAATGAAAGAGCCAAAAAAGGAAGGGACCCCTAAATCTCGTTTGCATGGATAGAAAAGCCTCTCACCACCCCCTGCTCCTGTCCTGGGGCAGCCCAGTCTCCTGCTGGCCCCTCCCCATCGGGCCCTCCCTCCTCTACCCCTAAGGCACCCCTCATAGCCCTCAGGAGGGATCCCCTTCACAAATCCCCCGACCCACACCCTCTCTTACCGAGGGTCTGGAAGCGGAGGCTGCTGCCGGCTGCCCTCTGCGCCCCCACCTTACTGATCTCAGCAGGCGACCCTCCACCCCTAGGTCTCAGTTTCCTGTGGGAGCCTAAGGGGCACACCTGTCTACACGAGGTCGGGGACCAGGCTCTGGGACTCGGGAGCCCGCGCTGCTGCGGCCACCACGCCCGAGGGACTGGGGCCTCGGTCGGGGTCAGAGATTAGGAGTCGGTGGCACCGCTAACCTCAGGTCCCAGTGGCCGCTGCCCACGACGGCGTCTCCGTCCTTGTCCTTCTCCGGGACCGGGGCTGGCGCGTCCCCCCCGGCGCCCACGTCCCGCACTTCTTCTTCCGCCGCCGCGGGGCCGCCACCGCCGCCCTGGCTCGAGGACCGCGACCCCGTCCTCCGGCGCCGGGAGCCGCCCGCGCCGCCGCGGTCACCCATGGTTCAGCCTGCACCTAGCCGCGGCCAAGTCGTCGCGGGCCGGGCTCTCGGCGCCCGACGCCCGCGGCCCCGCCTCCGGACCCAAGGCCAACGGCCGCCGCCGCCCCCTGCCGGCCGCCGTAGCCCGCGCGCCGCCCGCGCCTCCAATCAGTGCGCGCCCGCTGGGTCTGCCCACGGCTCGCCCCGAGGGCCGCTCGCTGGCCGGCGGCCTCGGTGCGCGCCCATTTGTAGTCCGCGGGCGCGCGGGGCACGCTGGGAGTCGTGGTCGCCCGGCGCGGGGCATCCTGGGAGTCGTGGTCGCCCGGCCCGGACTCGAGCTCGGCGGCTGCGTGTAGCCGGCGGCGGACTCTGCTCCCCACGGCCTCGGCGTGTCCGCGGACTCGCTGGGAGCTGCGCGCCTCCCTGGCCGATTCCCTGCCCCTGGCGCACCCCATCAACACAGGCGCAGAGTGTGGGGATGGAGGTCAGTTGTGAAACGCGTTGGGTGTGACTGTCCGCGGGAGCTTGCCTCGCCACCACCCGGCGCGTGGGTTCCTGAGAGCGCACCTTGCGGAGCAGGACTGTGATGACCTCCTCAGGCACCCGCTTTTCCTTGACTTGGGTTGTCAGACAAGCGCCAGGCCAGAGAACGGAGCAGGAGAGAGGCCCCAGGTCCCGCCTCCCCAGGACACCGATTTCCAGGACCCGACGGGGATAGGGAGACAGAGCTAGAAACCGGAGTAGCTGCGCCCCAGCGCACCCCCTCCAAGCAGCCTGCCTTCCGCCCACGTCCGCAGACCTTGGGGCCTTCCTCGTTTCCCACTTGGGCCAGTTTAGCCAGGGCGTGGGGGAGCCTGGAGTGCCCGATCGCAGGGACCCAGAGGATCCACGCCCCTGTCGTTAAATGAAACTAATCCACCGTGACAACCGCAGGATGCGGTCCGTGTCCCACCTTGGATTAATCTGCATCTTGCAGGGGGCATGGAAAGTGAGTCCGGGGCTTCATAGGGATTCAGGCCTGATTTACCCAAGAAACACCTGTAGCAGCAGAGCCTGTCAAGCCATTCTGAGAAGAGCGCCTCTTTGGAAGCAAATAAACCAAGAGGCCAGCCTGAGATCAGTGGCCTCTCCTATGGGCCTAGTTTGCCCCTGCACCACTACTTCTGTGACGGCATCCAGGGCCCCTGGTGACATATTCTTGCTGCCACCGGGCCTTCTGAGGCTGACGCCAGCCTGGCATCCCTACTTGGCAGGCTGAGGCTACCTGGCAGGTATCTTTGAGTAGCCTGCTTGAAGGGTCCACCCTGACTGGGAGAGAGAGCAGCCCCGCGTGCCCACGTGGCCCAGCTTCGATGGGTCAGGACCAGCCCTGTCTCCCATCCAGTCTCCCAAAACGTTTCGTTTGTCTGTTCATTGGACGACCCAGGCCAGGCAGAGTACTGATTACAAGGGAGAGAGGACAAAGGGGAGGGTCCTCTTGAGAGGGCGAAGAGTAAGAATGAGCCCTGGGAGCTCTGCTACTCCCTCCCCACTCCATCTCCCAGGCAGCGAAATGGGAAGACCCGTACTAGGACCCACGTGTCCCCGTGGGCCTTTTGCCTTGCAGGTCTGCAATACAGAACCAAAAACTAGAGGGATGGCCCGGGCTGGCTCACCGATTGGCAAAGGAGGAGATTGACGGTTCAGGCTACCAGTAGGCTCATAGAGGCTGGGTTCAGTAGCCAATGAAGAGTGAAGGGTCGTGTTAGAGACGTATAACTGTCCACGTAGGGGCTGCAAGTGGAGGCAGGAGTGAAGTGACCTGAATGAACCGGGGACCTGGGAGGGGAAGCCAAGGTTCCCCTACTGAAGATTAGGGCAAGGAAAGCAGGGCCACGAGCCAATGGGAAGGCACACACTGTGAACACACCAATAAGAAAGAATCTCTGGCCGGTCTGGCTCAGCGGTTAGAGCGTCGACCTGCGGTCCGGAAAGACCCGGGTTCAGTTTCCGCTAAGGGCATGTACTTGGGTTGCAGTTTGTCCCGGCCCTGATTGGGTCATGCGGGGGTGGCTCGATGTGTCCCTTTCACATTGATGTTTCTCTCTCTCTCCCTCTCTCTCCCTCCCACTCTATCTGAACAAAACAAAAAAAAAGGAAAAATGTCCTCAGGTGAGGTTTAAAAAAAAGAAGAAGAACCTTGAAGCCCTAGCTGGTTTGGCTCAGCAGTTAGAGCATCGACCTAGGGACCGAAGAAAGAACCTCTGCACAGGCAAGGGACCTGCCCGTGGAGGAGGCGAGGTGGGAACACCAGATGGGGATGGGCCCCATGTAAGCCCCACCCTGAGCAGCAGGCCCACAGGTTATGACCTGCTGCAAGTCAGGCTTCTCTGCTGTTCACCAATGGAGTCTGGGTGGGCCTGTCCCCTGCCAGTATTAGAAGAGCTGGACTGACCCTGGGCTGACCTGGTTTGACCACATGTCTCCAAAGACTCCGTCTGAGTGTCAGGGGTCATTGTTGGGTTAGGAGATCCCTGTTCCCAGGCTGTCCTCACCCAGCACAGCCCACCCCTCATCTCCTCAACATGAGTCATCCTCTCTAGAGCCTAGAGAGCTGTGGATGGCTGTGGAAGCCTCTCTGAACCCCGGGGCACTTCCTCAGGTGGCGAGGACCTACCCTGGAGTCTGAGGCTCACGGTGTGGGTAGCAGGCTGCAGAAAGGAATCAGACGTTTCTTCAAGGAATCAGAACCCTCTTCAATGCCAGTTTTCTCCACTGGCGTCAGAGGGCTTGGTGGTGGCTGTCAGGCCTACCAGGGCAGCAGGAACCCCCACAGGGAGAGTGGGGGCACTTGAGGCTCCGCTGTGCCTACTCCGGCCATTCTAGAATCACCCTGAGCTGGGCCTGACTTCAGACTAGAGTCCCTACTCCTCCCATTTCTGGCATAGAGTAGATTCACCTGCCACAGGAGAAATGATAAATGCTTTGCCTGTGGGGAAGAGGTACTCCTGGGCCTTGGAGCTCTCTCAGACAGAAGACAACTCTCTTGCAAAAGGGGACACGGGCGCACCCTAGCGAAAGGCAGCAGCGTCCCCAGGGCTGCGTGAGCAGGCTGCTACTCCCAGCGCTGCCCCTGTGCCTGACGCACAAACGAGGAAGACATGCCCATTCCTCCACCCCGCCCCATACACACGTTTCCGCGCCCCCTGCAGTTTGGGCCCAGCCCTGAATACATCAGCCCAACACTCCAAGTTCTATCAAGAGTGGCGTTTATTCTCCTCGTGGAGGTGCGGTGCTCCGGGGAGCTGGTGCTATTGTGCTTAGGAAGGAGGTCTGTCCGTCCGTCCGTCTGTCCGGCCGGCCCGGCCCCAAACGGGGGCGGAAGAGGGGCGCGGCCCGAGTAAAAATCCCGGCCTGTTCCGGGTGGGAGTATGTACAAGGCGGCGGGGCGCAGGCGGGGGTGGAGGCGGAGCGGGCCGGCGGCCGCAGCCCCCACCCGAGGGCCCCCGCATCTCGGGCCCTACTCGTAGAATCAGTACAAAATAGGTGCTACCTAAACGTTCCTTCTACCTGAATTCGCTAAGTCGGTTATTGTGCTGCTTAGTTATGGGGGCAGGAGGGGGCCCATGGCTTTCCACGGCGGCGGGGTGTGGGGAGAAGCGGGAGGCCCTGGCCGGCCCACTGTCCTCCGGCCTTCTCCTTAGGTAGGTAGACAGGCGTGGGGAAAGGGGAAAGAGGGTGCCTGTGTGTGCGTGTGCATGCGGGTGTGCCCGACACAGGCGGGCAGGCCCCGGCTTGGGAGCTGTGTGGGTACCGAGCTGGGATGTAGGGGGTTTGGAATGTGGGCCCTGCTCTGCTGGGCCCTCGAGTCCCCTGCGGTTTCAGCTGGGCGGCCGCGGGGCTTGGTGCCCACAGGGATGGGGCTGACCAAGTCATATGCCCCAGCGTGCACCTTTCCGTTTGCCTGGGGCCCTGGCCCATCAGGGCAGAGCCAGTATAACCAGGGTATGGAAGTACTGGGGTCGGTATGGGCGACCGTTGTGGCGCTGGACCTTGGGGCTCTGTGTTTGCCACCGAACTGAGAACGCCAGCCCCAAGTCAAAGGCAAAGACCGACTGGCCCAGCACTGTACCCGGGTGGGGAGGGTGGAGCGCGGGTTTGGGTCTAGGGATCCGGCCTCTCTCCACATCTACCGCCGTCCCTGGCGCACCCAAGAGCGTTGGGCCCGTCACGAATATGCATCTCCCCCGCGCAAGTCGCCGCAGCCGTGGCAGACTCAGCAGTGGGCCTGTCACAAGCAGGTACCCAATGAATGGTCAGTGGGTGATGGATAACTGAAGGAGGGGTCTTGGGGACAACGCCCCCCACCCCGCCCTTGAAACCATTACACCGCCGGGCTCTGCCGTGGGGGATGGGGCAGGTAGGGAGTAGGAAGGGTAAGAAAGTCTGCGCGTCCGGCCCCGCGCAGCGTCCCTGATCTAGGGGCCTATGGGGTGAGCAGGGCAGGGGGATACCTGATTCTCAGTAACTCTAGAGGCGGCGGCAGCTTCGCATGCAGTGCGCATTATTGCTCTATAGTCGGCATCGGACTAACTAAGAGGAGGAGGGAGGAGCGGGCAGCCCCGGGAAGGGACGGGAGGAGGGTTGGGGCTGCATGCAGTGACGTCACAAAGGCGGCGGCCAATGGGGCGGGCCCTTAGGGCAGAGTCGCCGCCGAGGCTTTGGCATAGACCGGCGAAAGTTGGCAACCGAGTGGGGACAGGGCCAGGGGCTTGGGGGAGGGGGCCGGCCTCTGAGAGGCG